GTGTGTGTGTGTGTACATTAATCAGCTGTAAAAGACATTCTGTCTATATTTTGATGTAAGTCAGACTCATAGGGTCTAGTTATTTCGTCAGAGTCTTATCACAGATCTCATGTGAATGTTACCAGGCAGAAGAATGCTGCCTCTATTTACTGTCTGGGTTAAAAAAGAGGCCAAATACAAGTCCAGTCATTTCCTAAACTGAAACTCTCTTCCTTCTGCACCCATCTCATGCATCTATTTCAAAGCGAATCATCTCCAGTATCATCTGACTGTATGCCTCATTAAGGTTCAAACAAAGAGTCAATGTAAGGGTGAAGAGAAGCAGTGTATTTGAGAGAGCCTAATTAGTTTCATTGGTGTCTTTTCCCACCATTTCTAATTCCACCATCATCAGCTCACAGAGTCACCAGCTGATGTGCGCTCACATGGTTTTTAAGAGAGGGACAAAATGCCATGTAGACTCAACGATGCTGATTCACATTGAGACTCTTGCACAGCACATCTATGACCTGAATCAGATGGGGACTGATAAACTATGCTGTTAATTGGTGGAAAAGTAGCCATGATTTCAACAAACATCTAAATCATATCAGGTAATAAAAGGGTTTTACACACAAATAAAGTGAGTTTTTGGGTTGTTCGCATTTTTCAGCCTTTGTGCATTAATTGGATTGGATTGGGATAGAGGAGAGAAACCAATCAGCGTATAGTCAAACCATGAGCCTGCTGCTCAGGGAACAAATGACCATGTGGTATATGCATCCTACGCATTTCGCTCTGACGTCGCTTCAAAAATTGTCATTTTTAAACTTACATTTTTTCAACATACTAAACTAATGAGATATTAGCTAGTGAGCTATGTATGGGCTTAAAGTTAATAATGTTCCATAACATGCAGATATTATGCTGAGCATCTCCGCCTGGTTAAACCTTCACATGTGGCTGGTATCTCATCTAGCTGTTGCCATAAAAGTGTATTTTTCCCCAAATTTCCATTTTTATTTCAAA